GGAGAATGATCTTTACATCGGAAGCTGAGAATGAGTCCTAGAAAATGCTCCGACATCAATTTATTCTTTATGGACTGTTTTAAATATAAACAACCGTTCCGTGGTTACTCGCTATGAAAGTTGAGATGAACAGATAGTCATCTAATGAGAGCAAGAAGAAGCATCATGATCACAGGATGTGTTGAATTCAACTATTTTAACCAAACTTGATCTGAATGTATGTACACAGCTGATGAGATTACCACGAAATAGTTGAGTTCATTACATCCTGTAATCATGATGCTTCTTCTTGCTCTCATGAGACAGTCTTCTGTCAAACACATTAATATCATCTTGCATCACAATGGTGTTTGGTCTACCCTTGTCAAAAACGTATTCCAGAAAATGAGAATGTTAGTTGTAGGTCGAGCGCTCAAAGGCTTTTTATTGTTCTCATTCAACTGAAAAGGCGTGTTTGGCCTCACTGGATTTATAGATGGACCGTCATTTACCCAAAGCTATGCAATAAAGAGCTCCGAATATTCGCCAGATCTCTTTCGGTGCGTGAGCAATTTATTCAGCATTCTTTAGATCATCATTGCAAATCCGACAAACCACTAACCTGACTTATACAACATGTTCTTACTGTTCCCATCTGCTACCCGATGAACTGATTAGTTATTTCTAACCGTGAACCATGTGTTCTCGTTATGGGCATGTGTATACACACATCCAGTAGTTCTGTTGTTTTTCCCTATTTGGTTAGATGTATTAAATACTCAGAACTCGTGTTCGATCTGAGTCTATTGTTATTCTGAACAGATGTTAACTTTTGTAGTGTTCGTGTGCATTATCTGCTGTCAGAGTTGTGTTTAATATTTATTGTACGATATCGATCCTTGTTAAATTTACGGTCACTCATTCGAATGGATACAACAGGGAATCTAACCTGAGATTGCAATGTTCATGTCCACCCATAATTGCTACATACGCTCATTTGTTAGTTCCTCTTCCCTGATCTGCCACGCGCTGCAACGGACCATAATACTGTCTGTAGCGGGACTAGAGCTCTGTTGTTAGCCAAAATTGAATACCTTATACTATCCCGAACGATTGACTCCCTTGTTCATATGTCCGTTTTCCGAGATGGACGGCTGAACACTGATATCCCGTTTTGCATAAAACTGAACTGGCGAGTGTTGACCGTGTAGGAATCAGGAAGTACAATATTGTCTAGCAATAACAAACGATCGATGAACACATTGCACCACGGTAATCGGTTTACTCCCTAGTCAACAACAATACGAACAAATTTGTTATGTCTTAATTTCACTCACGAACTTCTCGAAAATATTGTCCACATAATGTTCCTTCCCCCATTTTTCGGTTAGAGACATGCCAATATGGAATTGATCACGTATCACACAAAGGGTGTGCGGGGGTGTAATCCTGATTTTTAGTTATTCAGAGAGACAGCGTGGACACAAGGACCGTTTCCGTTTGCACAAAATGGCTGGATCAACCAGTGCGATCCACAACGAGAGAGAGATTGGTGGTTTTTATGACTTCGAATTTACCGGTAATTTCAGAGATGAGTGACATTGCGCTGGTGTAGTCAGCTCCATTTGCGCAATTTCGACAAATTACAATCTACAATGCTGTTCAATGACAACTTGTCAGTTCAACGCATTTCGACCAGTTGCAGAATGTCATCACCATCGTTCACGTTCCTCCATTTACATATGTCGTCCCTAGTGGAATCTGATTTCTTGAATAAAAGATTCTTAAGTTAATATGCCAGGTATAAAACAAATTAAAGAAAGACTGTTATAACATCATCATTAATCTTGAAATAACTGGCAGATACAACCCACCAGATGCATTTGGGATGACGGTAAGATGATACGGCAGATAATACCTAGAACATTCACGGCGATTGATTTTCGATGAAATGTAGAATATGGCTAGTTAAGTGGTTTCATATTACGAATCAGATCTAGTCAAACTAAGTTATGAAGAAATCTGCATATAAAGAAGCCTTTTATCCGTGGGTTTATGACAAAATATATTAGAGCCCTTCCCATGCATAATTCGTTGTCTCAATTTGCGAAATTAAACCATTTCGCATTTCAAGGGAATCCGTCGTTTGTGTCCAGGGCCCTTGGTCATACGTGCGTTAACCAAATAAGCTTCCAAAAGATAACTAAAAGCACATAAAAGTTCACGGTTCATGCACAAAACAAAAGTGTAGCACCACTGTTCAACACAGTTACAAGTCTCTCGGGTGCGTTTGATAGAGATAAGTTCCTATTTGCGCGGTTTTCATCCGATTCAACCAATTTTCGTAACGAGAACTGAATTTGTCACCAATGTGCACAATTGAAGAAATCACTATCAGTTTGACCACCCACACAGTGTGTAAACAAGTTGCAAGATGATGGCGACGATGACATGAATGCATCTCTTTAACGTCCCCAAACTTCTGCTTCTTTGACTGTATTCGTCTTTTTTTCTTCTAAATTCTGTCTAGAAGAGTGAGTAAGATATTGCCATCTTGCATCTAAAATTTCACCTTGGCATCGAGTTATTCTCAACACTGGTTGAACATACTTCTTGGGGTGTGAAGAAATACTAAACGTGTAATTTGCATGTTGGAATTTCATTCAAACTCACGTAAATGGATTACGAGAAGCCAGCATTTTAGAGGTGTGATGGTTCGCATGCCTCTATAAACTGATGGTCTCTACAACATGATTCTTACCAACCATATTTTAATGACCAATAGGTAAAGGTCAGGCGGAGTTCGGTTTTATATGATCAGCGGAACTCAGATGGCTGTTTCAAGGATCAGTTACGTTCAGTTTAGATAGTTCATTTTAGCAAGCAGGCAAGCTAACACTGTGAGGAGCAGTTTTCTGTTCAAAAATGCAACTAATGCAATGCTTCAGATTCCTTCTAGACAATGGAGGGCTACCGGAAGCCTACCGAGGAAAACGCCCACCATATGCCTCGAGACGCTTCTTACAGACAAATGCTGTATCGTATCAAGACCAAGAGAAGACGTATGTTGCGAGACATTTCGTTTAATCTTCTCAATTCTAACGTAAAACAAACAAGCATATTTATAGCACGTTGGATTTGTAAGTCCTAGTGAACGGACATATACAATCAGACAGGGGTGATTCGAATTAAAAACATAGGTCAACTCCACAGCACGTGAACTGATTTGGGCGCACAGAACGGGATTATGTAATCTGATTAGCAACGCCTCAGGTATCGCCAATTGTTTTGCATTGCAGTTACGTAACAACGGTTCGAAAGAGGAAGCGGGATCAACTGTGTGCTTGCTAGTCATGAACTATTTTACAATTGATGACTCCGGATTGTTACATAACTGCAGTGAAAAACTGTTGGCGATAACTGAGGCGTTGCTAATCAGATTAGATAATCCCGTTCTGTGCGCCCAAAAGTTATTGATCCAATCAGGTCACTTGCTATGGAGTTGACCTATGTTTTTAATTCGAATCACCCCTGTCTAATTGTATATGTCCGTTCACTAGGACTTACAAATCCAACGTGCTATAAATGTGCTTGTTTGTTTTACGTTAGCAATTGAAAAGATTAAACGAAATGTGAACATCTCGTGACATGTCTTCTTTCGATGGATAAAGGGGACCCAGTGTTTCAAAATGCTTTAGCCCTTAACTACGCAAGAAAAATCCCGTTTGAATTTGGACAGTGAGCGACTCAGGCCCAGCATCATCCGGAAGATAGTGGAGCTCAAAAAATGTCCTACGTGTCGGTTGACTCTTTTTTCGGTCGAATCATGGATACAAGTCTAGGCAAAGTACACATGATCGAGTTTGACCGTTCATCACACATGTGAGAAATTCGAGTTCGGTTGATTGGCATTGGAATACCACGTGGTACGAGACGCAAGACAAGAGGATATTTGTAACACAATCAGCAATGTTGCACCCGATATGTCAGGGTTTTGAAACATTCGCGTATAGGATACGAATGTAGGCCAACTTTCTGCAGACTTCAAGTACTATTTGCCTTCTGAACAACTGCTAATATTATAACAACTTCTTTTCTGGATTAGAGGCCTAATGAATGTGAGATAAACTTAAGTAGTTCCAATGAACCGTTAAACTTTCAGTACTCTAGCAGGGGAGCGGGAAACTCAACGGTAAGTCCCGAAAAACCTATTCAGTTTCATACTATGTTCACCATTGTGCTGTGTAAATCGTACGATAACGGTAGTCAGATTAAAAATGAAAAAAACCGAGGGTTAATCTGTTTGCACGCACACATCAGTGGACACAAACACACGCACACAGAGTACCCATGAATTTGTTTAATCCCAACTGGACTGAGTGAATCGATAGGTGAAACGGATCAACGGTGGACTGATCCGAACTAGCTGATTACAATGGACCCGTTTCTCGGAGCTGTGCATATCGCACTGATCAGTCAGGATATGACAATATATCCCTAATTTATTGGTTCATTTGGCTTTCATTCACTTTTTTACCCCACGAATAGGACATGCTTTCTTTCAGGCTGCACGACTGTCCAAACAACGTATTGCATTTGCTGTGTTGTGCTATGGGGCACATACGCATTAGCTTGTAACACTAAGAATGGACACGTCAATCAGTAAACAGGAAGGATCAACAATAAAACGATGGGGGTACCGCAAATCAGGAAGGGAACACGGTCAACATTTGATCCTACAACGATTTGTTTGGACTGCTGCGGTTAAACATTTCCAATCAACTCACCAAACAAACTAACAAATCCCTGATAGATCTGAATCACAAAAGAAAGAAGAATCAGTGATTTTGGTACCGAATAGGAGAAAAAATGAAAGAGATAACAGCCAAGTAGTTCACGGGCTGTTCAATTGAGACACAACCACAGTGATATTAGGACGGTTGGACCAAAAGCAATGTTGTCAGAAATGAACGATTACCCGAGGGTGAACAGGGCAAAAGAAAAGAATGTGGAAAGCTTACTCAGTTGAGCAGCATCCTCAGCCGAAAATCGCTCATCGAACAACACGCTGTGGAAAAACGTGTACACCAGGTCACTCTAGAAAGAGAAAGAATAAAATGGAGTAGGGCTCAAGCTGTGGCTGAAATCTGGATGACTGATGTTTCTATGATGACGAAAAATTACAAGCGAATAACTGGAAGAAAGAGAGCTCGGTTTTCAAACGTGATTTTGCTCATCACTTGGTTTAGTTTGCAGTAATCCGTCAAGGCCACACTACTTTCGTGATGAGCAGCTTTGTGTTGATCTGGCTCGTTATCATGTCTATCCTTTGAGGCCTAAAGAGGTTCGAAATTTCGAGTCCTAGGGTTTAGATTACCGATTCCAACAAATGAACAGTAGATACCCGTGACTATGTGACTTGCCTTGACTGCCATTCGTATTTGAAATAGAGTCAATCGTCAATCCACATTACCGTATTGCATATTTGTCACAGATTATAATAGAAAGCAACCCGGAACTTACTTTGCTTATGACTTCATCCTCTTCCAGCAGTGTGTCAACCAAGGTTTGCACATTGTTCTGCGTTTTCACTGAGGTCACATTGCCACTGTTTAGAGCGTTGAGCAGGTGCGGTAGTATTGCGAGAACCGGCGAATCGGTGTAGGTCTCCTGTACAGCCAAACTGAGCTCGTTCAAATCGGCAATTCGACGATAGACGCGAGTGGGCACACGACAGTTCTTTCTCCACACATACATGGGAAAATAATGATCCTATGCAAGGGTATTAGAATTAAAATGATGATGGGATGATGATGTTGATGATGAGGAAAGATGGGGAACATGAGGTGAGAAGGTGTGTAGAGAAACAAAGGGAAAACAGGTGAAATACATCAACCCGGATTGTGAACAGTAAGCTATGAGACGATTGTGTTAAAAAGAACCACACACACGTACACAATAGATACAATTCACCCAAATGAACTGCAGTCAACCTCGGACTGGATATGAGATCACATATCCAGTTTTGAAGACCAAACTGATACAAATCCACTCAAGTGATCAATGAAAATGTTAACTTGTTTTCGCCTATCAGCCGAAGAGATCATAGTTGTATTATGCTAAACTGGAGTACAAATATTCGGGTACAAGGAATAGGTGCTTTGCGCATTTGATGACTAGCTTTCATTTAAACAGATTTGATACGTTTATTACAGGTTGATCGGGGGAAATGAGTGAGCAATAGTGGGAAAATTGCGTAACCGTCCGCATTGCATGCAACATCTAGTCTGTTTTCGAAACGCGGGCAGTTGGGACGACGGTGAGAAAACACAAAATAACCACTATACTCGGAGTGACAACGGGATGGACTCCTATTCCTGAAAAATATCTGATGTCCCGTGTCCCAATGATAAAGTGAATGGATGAATCTCATTGGTTTGTGAGAGATTCATCTCTCGGATTCGGTTAATCTGTCGCCCAAAGTCTGACTCTATTATTTTGATAACAGCAGAAAATCAAGGATCTAAACTAATGAAAGGACTCGGTAACACCGCGGGACCTGGTAAAACTTTTCGTTGTTTGTGGAACAGTAAGGGAGAGAGGGGAAGATACTCAATATAGTCAAATCGAAGCCCAGTAAAGTCCAGCACCCAAACAAAGCAAGATAAACATCATAGATAGCAATCGTGAGCCAAGCGAGATGAAATATTGGTATATAGGTTTCTTTAGGAATGGGATTTCACGGCATGCGGCAACACCAAGCTATCAGTCTTTCTGTCTGACCACCATGGGCACCTTCAGCAGCGGTAACAACAACAACAAGAACAATAGTAACAGCAACAACAAAACAACCGAAATTTACATGGAACGAATAGGGAGGGAAAAAGCCGTAGGGTAGATTTGTGAACTGTTTGAAACATTTGGGGTGTGGAGACGAACACAGCCAATCACGCGATGGAAAACAAGGGATTCATGTGACAAAAGACGCGAGAATGATGAGGTAGGTTCTTAGGATAATTGAATTTTAGATTTACCACTGAGTGAGAAATCAGGATATCAGTCGACGGGAATGTAAAAATAAATCAATATATTTGGGGTGAAACAAAACTATAAAGTTCGGAATATTCACGAGGAAATTCGGTAGGTATGCTCAATGTAGAGGTTGTGTTGTTATTGCTGTTGCTACTGTTGTTGTTGCTGCTGCTGTTTCTGGCAGTGGTAGCTGAGGCACTGCGAGGCGGGAAAGCGTTTGGAGACGCACCTGTGACGGTTTAGAAAATCGTTTCCAACGGACAGCATGCGAACGGGATCGTCTCACCTTTGACGGATGAAGCAGGACAAAAACAAGTGTGCATAGTACTACAGTTCCAAATGTTTGCAACGTTAGGTCGGGAAATCTAATCAGTCGGCAATCATGAATCTATCTCCCTATTCAAAACACCCTACTGTCGGATGAGCGGGAGTCTGATCTTCCTATCAGAACATGTAGAACGTTAACGGATAAATGATGCCAACAGTCATACTCAGCAAATTCAGCCGATGGTAATGAAGAGAAAACGTAAAGTAAGATGCAAGTAATTAATTCACGGTGCGTAAAACATATCATGTAGATACGGAAGACAAAAATAATAGTCACTCGGAACTATTCCCAAGGTAAACAAACTTTCTGAGTCAGTTCCTCTTGTTCAAATATTGCTGGTTTGTTAGTCATTGTGAGAAATGCTTTACTGAAGGTCACCACGTTCGGAACTGGATTACGCAACAATATTGGGAATTATATCAACTGTGACTGATTGCCAGCGTGTTTTTCAAGCGACGAAGTCGCAGCCACTCGAGCATTAACAAAAACGGACCGATTTCGACATAGTGAGTGCCGGGGTACATGCCCATTTGACTTATACGATTGATGACGATGACGATCCAGTCTGCTGGATTGCGAAACGCCTGTGTAATTGGTGATTCAGTTGAGATAACCTCACAATTCCTATTACTGTTACGTAATCCGGTTCCGGTGCTAATGGCCTTCAGTGAATCTTCGGTTATTCTGATTCACAAACCACCAATTATTAGGCGAAAGAAAATCGCGCAAAATGTTTGTCTGCCTTGGCAGCAGTTTCGATTGACTGTTCTTTCCTTGCCCACTATCCTTTTTGGTGTTGAACATTCAAAATTACTTTTTTGTCTTTTATGTATTGTGGTGCATATAAATGACATGTTTTAAGTACCGATCGAAGATTGTGGATGAAATATTTGCATGCTGGAAACTGCGTCTTATATTATTTCTGATAAAACTGAATACACCGTAAAATCGTGGGTGAATAAAAGACAAAGCTGGTCATGGCACTCTGCATCCAATGAAAATATAACTTCATCCCCAGTCACTCAGAAAGAAATACGAAATATGACAAGGAATAACCGTTACCGGGACGACATTTCGCATCCTGTATCATATTATAATAATGTACACTTCTTTATCAGATTCCAAACTGATTATTCGCTCTGCAATCTATTCATGACTTTCTGGTAAAAAATGTGTATCAATAGTGTCCGTAGGGATCCATTCGTCCGTTCGCTTTTATGGTGTGATCAAACCGACCGCTACATTCGTTAAGACCAGTGTCGGTGAACATAAGTGACAACATGTAATACCATAACGTGATTCACAAATCACTGAAACAGTAAGGGGTGCGTTGGGCCCGGGTTATGATGACCTTTGGCCAATAGCCTGTCTATTTTCATCGGTGCTCTAGCAAGGACAAGAGTGATTATCGTTGATTCATTCACACAGACGCGTCCGCGCGACTGCGTTTATCGATCGCTTGGATCTGATATCTTATTCCACATACCCGCTCACTAGTCAAATGGATGCCGCTATCCTCACACGAGGGTAGAGCTGTTTCAAGAATTACATCCATTACAAAGTTAAATAGACACAGAGAGAGCAGGCAACCCTGCCGAACATCACTTTCCGTGGAGAACTCAGAGTATGACTCCAGAGAGAATTTTAGTGACGATGTTGAGTAAACTAATTCCTCTGTGGTTTTCACAAAAAGATCTGTCGCCTTCGTTGTAAACAGAAGTTTCTTAGTTGAAGGGACATCAATGTGAGACGGCGGTGGAAAGATGCACTAAGTGCATCTGGGGGGGGGGGGGGTTTTTNGGGGGGGGATTTTTAGCCATACTACTTACACTGCATTTTCTATTTAAGATAACCGGATTGCTTTAGAAATAAAACTGGATGTTTAAAAGGAAAGTGGCAAGCGCATCATGCTTCCTCAATGCAGTTTAACTGTGTATCGTATGAATCGATTCGACAATATTTGGTATTACAATGAATATGCTATTTTTATTGGAATAATTTGTGTAACCTTCTATGGTCAATAGAAAATGTACTCCGATCGTCAAACTGAACAAACTATGCAAATTAAGAAAACATGAAACGAGAAAAAATATCACTTAAGTTTAGTCTATGGACAGAAACTCTGGCGTACTTCAATAACCACCTGTTCCTTGTTGATTGGAGGTGGTTCAAGAAGGGTATAGAGGAATTTTTCTCAATGTTAATATGAGAGGGTAACTTCAGAAAGGAGGAGCGCGTGGACGGATAGGAACGAGAGAGATAAACTAAGGTGCAGTGGATGAAAAAAAATTGGGCTCGAGTTTTATTGACGAAGTTAATACAAGAGTTAATGCGACCACTGATAACTTCTGTGAATAAGGAATAAACCGTAATCAGGAAGTATCAACCAAACACGACAAATGGTTTTTAAGTCTTGTTTTAAGAGGACAGGAAACACTATAGGGGAGTAATAGGGTAAAACTGGGAAGTGTTACTTAGATATTGCTGTATACTGACTGCGATGAACGTCAGTCCACCGATGGAAGGAATTTATAAATTTAAGGCTTTTTCTGACTTCCGGGAAATCAGTGTCATGGTGCGTTGAGTAATTGCACAGATCAGGTAAATATATTTCCGCTGTATGGAGATGATGCTGGTCGTAGGGGTACCGTTGGCCGCGAGTGGGTTTTTGGTGGAATTGTTTCATTTTATGACAGACGTACGTTTCATAATGTTGTTAACAACTGATTATTTACATTAGCGGTGAAAAAGTCACAACAAAAAAGCAATGGCAGACAGATAGTACACACTATCATTGCCACGTCAAATTGAGCAGAGCGAATGGTGACTAACGGTTGCACTGCACCAGACTTCAAGAGACGATAGTATGATGCTTTCAGCGAATCGAGACATTCGANTTAATTATGGTAAAAAAAGACAGCGAAAGAATCAACAGTATTTCACCGGAATAGCAAGATGAAATAGAAACTCATTCACTACCTAACAGAAATTACATTTTTCTATGCAATTCCCAGATCGAATATTGCATTCTATCCACTATGCTAAGGACATTTGCTCAAATTTCAAAAAGGTATAGTGAGGGCGGTGTGTGTGCTATGCAGGAAGAATCACTTTGGCCGATCGACCCGATGTCAATCTATATGTGTGTGTGTGTGCACTCATCAGACCACCAGATGCAGAGGCCAAATCGAGCATTGTCTTATACTGTGTATGGATTTTGCAAGCACCGAATCTTACATTTCAGTTAAAAAAGCCATACAGGTTAACCGTCACAAAGAACACATTCAACGGGGATAGTTCTTACAGACACCGGGACATTCTATGGTCCAAAGTTATGACAAAGTTCACTTGTTACCCTTTCTTTGTGGGTGAGTAAACGTACAAGATAGGGCATAGGTGTATTTCGGTAAGC